TACAATTGAGATTACATTTTTCTACCCTTCTATCTCCCACAATATATTAAAAATGTTTTAAGTTAAAATATAAGAAGCACAACTGTTTAATATTACTTTTTAATTCTTTTTCACTTACCTCTATATAGACCTTAAGGATTGCAGTATTCTGACCATTGTATCAAAATCCTCCTTTTAGTTCCATTTTTCTTTTTCTTTTTTTTTTTTCTCTTTTTGATATGAAAAATCTAGTCTTAACAGCCTAACAAAAGTTTTAACAAAACTTCAATGCAAAAATGTACTAATTTCTTATAATACTTGATGAGTTGATGGGTTGATTTCTTGTACATAATATAATGCTAATTTATCTTTGATTTTATTAATATTTGAATATATTTAATATGATTTTATTTGATTTGACATCATTCCCATTATTTGTGTAGGATAGACTTCTTAAAATCATAAATTTGAAACTAAATCACCGTGATTCACAAAGTTAAAGGATGAATAAATTGGTGAGATTGAGGATCAAATTGTAGAATTATGAAATCTAAGGACTAAGGTACAAAAATTTTAGAACATTGAGAACCAACACTCTAATTTCTCCTTTACAAAAAGAAACAAAAGCCCACCGAGGAACTAAATGGTGAGGGTGTCGGCAGCTCTTTTTTTTTTTTCATCTATATAAATAAGAAATAAATTGTACTCCGTGGTGCTATAAAATTAGAAAGATATTAAATAAAGGTAAAGTCAAATCTATACTAAGAAAGTGTGAAGAAAATTAATAATAAATTAAATCTTATTAAGGTTAGATTTTAATATTATATATGTTATATATAAACTACTATTTAATAAATATCTTTTAAAAAGTCTATTGAATATTTATTAAATTTTTTTTAAAACTTATTAGTTATTTATTGAGGATATTTTTAAAGTTCAATAAATATTTATTTAAAAAATTTATGAAAAATTTTGTTATTACAATAATTTTAGGTTAAATGCTAATTTTGGTTCTTCAACTTTAAGATTTTACGTACAATTTTTATCCCTCAACTCTTTTTTGTACTTTTTTTATCTTTTATGAAAAGTATACTTTTTTAATCTTCCATCAATTAATTCGTTAAATCTATTTAAATCTATATATTTTTAATCCTTTAACTTAAAAGTTGATGGATAAAAAATGTGTATATATTAGAAGTTGAGGGATTAAAAATATACAGATTCAATAAATTTAACGAATTAACTAATGGAAGAACTAAAAAAATACATTTTTCATAGTTAAGGAACTAAAAAGAAATGTAAAAAAAAGTTAAGGGATGAAAATTGTATAAAATCTTAAGTTTAAAGACCAAAATTGACATTTAACCATAATTTTATATGTAGTTAAGATATAACTAAATGTTTGAAGAGAAAGAGATGGAATACCTGAACTGGTTGCTGGTTGGAGGGAATGGGATTGCCATTGTTGATGCATTTCAGCCAATTTGTTCCAAGCTTCTTTGGCAGAACTGATATCCTTTATTAAACCAAAAACAAATGGGTTATATTTGGGAACATGAATTTATATTTGAAAGATGTATTTTTAAATTTATTATTTAAATTAATATAATACAAATGAATTTGATATTCAAGTTATTGATTGAAGCATGTTTACAAACACTTCCAAGACAATCCTTTTGCAACTTCAGTGACAAGTCAAGCCAAATAACAACTTTCATTTCATCCCATCCACTAACAAACAAGAACTACCACTAACAAACAAGAACTAGAAAAATTCCTAATACCAAAATTGGTAGCCGATTCACACTCACATGTCCAGCTACTGGGCAACGGCCCAAGTTCGGTATCGATAAAGCTCTTACTCTCTGGCCAAACACCGGTATCCAGCACACCAATAACAACTTCACTCACTGAGTCCTACTCGAGAAACAAATCAGTGCTTTTGTCGAGTCCCAGGAACTCAAGAGTCCAAGTCGTGCGCAACTCGTACTCAACTCGGGCAAAACAGAGAGAATCCCGGGTTGGCTCTCGAGTTGCACAGCTTCCTCCGGTGTCGACCATCCATGGTTGAGCTCCATGAATCAAGAGAGTTGAAATACACAAATCTAAATTTGAAATGTGTAAGGTTGGAAGAGAAATTTGAAATACATAGGGTTGGAAGAGGATTTGAAATATATGAATTTTAAAGCAATGAAATACACAAAGTTAATTACATATATTTGTGTTAAATTCAATTATATCATTATTTTGTGAAAATAACTTGTGATATTGAATTTAAAATAGTTAAATTCAAAAACACTCTCCAAAAATCACATTCCCAAACATACCAATGCTGAACATATAATGTGAATTGCATGTAGAGCTGCAGCATTCTTTTTCGTGTGATCAACCTTGTCTGAAAAAGGAAGGGCATCAGTACCCTTTTCGAACATGTCCCAAAGATCTTGTGTCAACAGATAATTGTTAAGGAAAATTGTCCATTGTCCATTGTTCATATTTATCAAGTTCGAGAAGAAATGGAACAATTGTATTGGAACCAATCTTAATTCTTACTAGAAGTGCTACACTTAGTTAATTCAAGAAGTATCGAATATTGGAGGAGATTGGGGAAAGAAAAGAACAAGGAATAATCAAGATGTATGATAACAAATAAAGATATCGAATATTGGAAGAGATTGGAGAAAGAAGAGAACAAGAGAGCAAGGAATAATCAAGCAAATAAAGATATCGAATATTGGAAGAGATTGGAGAAAGAAGAGAACAAAGAATAATCAAGATGTATGATAACAAATAAAGATATTGAATATGATAACAAATAAAGATATTGAATATTAGAAGAGATTGGAGAAAGAAAAGAACAAGGAATGATCAAGATGTATGGTAACAAATAAAGATATCGAATATTGAAAGAGATTGAAAAAAGAAAAAACAAGGAATCATCAAGACGTATGATACAAAAACAAATGAAAATAAATATTAATATATGCGCTAGAAAAATCATCAGATGTATAATTGTAAGAGGTCACTGTAAGATAGATCGTTTTAAAAATTTTTTTTTTGAAGGATATGTTTAAAAACTCACTTTTTGATTAATATTTTTAAAAATCAATCATTAAATTGAAAATATTATTTATATAAATCAAGGAATAATCAAGATGTATGATAACAAATAAAGATATCAAATATTGGAAGAGATCGGAGAAAGAAAAAACAAGGAATCATCATTTATGCACCAAATACACACTACTCTTAGACATCCCTCGATGACTATTTTACACTACCATATCAAATCTAAGTTGAATTAACTAATTAATGGAATAAAGTTAAACTACTTAAACTAAAGAAATTTTCTAAGTAAAAGAAACCATGAATGGGATGGAACTAGAGTTTAAATTTTATTTAATTCTGAATTATACAACTGTTTAATTAATTTAATTCAAATTCAAATAACAGTGTTATAACATGAGATGACGGATTTCCCACCAACTTTCTTAAGTCAAGTTAATCATTCACTTGCTTATTAAATTAATCATATCCATATCTAATTTAAAACAAATTAGTAAGCATTAAATTCTATGAAATCCTTTGGCTTAGGAAAGAGGAGCTCCTAACTCTCTTCTCTTCCTCCATTACTACATGTGAAGTAATTATTTCTCGATCTCATAATCTGACACACAATTTATATCATTATTGATCTAATTTATACAATTCTTTCTCAAGTTCATGCATGTGATTAGGCTTTTAATGGATTAAACTCAATAACATAAACTTATCATACAAATAACCAATAAATCTTGAATTAAACTGAAAAATAGTCACATAATCCAAAATTTAAAATCCATGCAACCCTATTTCAAGAAATTTAGGTACACATAAGTAAGTTCTGAAAAGTTATAACTAAGAAAAACCAACAAAGAATCATTGTAAAAATCAAATTAAAAATGAACAAAACCAGTCCCAATGAAGAGCATAACCGAACTGCAACTTCTCCTCAATGGCGTGTTGCTGTGCAGATTTCCCAAGCAAGGCTGGCGGAGAAGAGAAGAAAGACACGCGACTCAATCTTGGGGCGATGACCGACTTTCTATGCGCGGAGATGCGTATATATATTCTCCTAATTCTTTCCTTTTTCTTCCTGGCCCATGTTCTACTAGGGCTTTTTGAACCTTTTGGGCCTGGTATGCTACCAGCCCACAACTTGAAGCCTTTTTGATTTTTTTTTCTCGCAATTTGCCCACCCTTCTTCTAGGTCGTAGCCGCGCATTCCAACTGGAATTCTGTCTTGAAATTGATTCGACTGAGTTAAAAGATAAATTGTAACTTTGTTTTTTAGTTTTTTAATGCCTCAATAACCACCATTCGATATCTGAAAAAAGGTTACGGTTGAATTACTACAATATGTGCAAATTATCATTGATTGAAAAATTAATTTCTTTTAAATTTATTCTTTTAATTTTCACTTACAAAACAATAAAATTAATATAAATTTAGATTGGATTAAGTTATAAAGTACTTATA